GTTGATTGATACTTGATCCTTTAGAGGAAGCAAGTTGCATAGTAGAGACTTCTTCAGAACTTGAGGAAGAAGCATCATACAAAGGATTTTGGTTAAGGACTGGAAGAGTTTGCTCATACAATTGAGAAAGAGCTTCTATCTTTCTTCGAGTACTATATGGATGTGTTGGAACATCTGTGCTTGATGTTGAAGTGGAAAGACTACTGAATTTACTCGAGTAGGCCTAACAACAGGTTTGCTGGTAAGATTCTTCTTAGGAGCCATCTCAACTTGGAGATATTTGGAGATTTGTTTGAAAAAAGAAGATAAGAGGCAGAGATCGTCCCACCAAGTGTGCTAGAAATTTGTACACAAATTTAAAAAGGACACCAGTGAATAAGAGTAAAAGCTTAATATAAATAAATAACCCATATAAGTGAAAATCTGGTAAAAAAAACAAGAGAGTTCATAAAACTTGAAATCATGCAAGATAAAGAGAATATTGCTTAGTAGAGTCTAAAATTTTTTAAGGCTTTAGCAGACCATATTTAACCCATTCTTAATTTTAAACCCTTTTTAATTCAATCTAAACTTCTAATAATAACTCTTCTTCATAATCCTTTTTCTCTAAATTACTGACATTATAGTTTAACTAGTCCTTATTCCCTAAAGCCCAAAAACAATTGACATGTGAAGGTACAACTATTTCATGGTGTTTTGCAAAAAAAAAAAACTATAACTCAGTTAAAAAAAGGATACATTAAAAGTGATAGGACAAAAAATATTTCGCCAAAGTTCTTTTTCACTTATGATCTTCAAGAAAAATATTATATTAGTGTTCAACAAATTCGTTCAAGTGGTAATCTAACAGATTTACTTATCAAAGCCCTTTCTATTGCAATATTTGAAAAGTTGGTACCAAAGATTGATCTGCGTTATTTTACAGATCTCAAATAATGTAGTCATCAAGGGAGAGCAAAATATGTATTGTACTTTTTTCTTTCACTAAGATTTTCCCTACTGGGTTTTTCTTGGTAAGATTTTTAATAAGGCAATGTTTCAAAGCACATTTTTGAAAAGAATTATATACTCTTTTCTCTTCACTAGTTTTTTTTCCCTATGAGCGTCTTATTTTTAGTAAAGTTTTAACAAAGTATATTTTTAATACAATGGATATTAAAAAGGAAGCATTATGAATATATGTATGAATGTCCATTATGTCATGACCCAAGAGTTCAGACCAGGTTAGATAGTTTAGCAAACAATAGCCCGAGCAAGCTAGGTAGCCCAAACAACCCAACAAGCCAAATATATGAGTGTAGTCTGATTTAAACTCTTAGACTTAAACATGTATATCTAGATTTAGATGTAAATTAGATTAGATTAAGATTAAGATTTAATTTGAATATTATTTATCTGAATTAAATCTCTAAATATTATCTTTATTTTGTAAATTTTATCTAAATAAACAGCTATTAGCTTATAAATACCCTTCACTTTATTTGTAAATATAAACTCAAATAAGATCTTACTTTCTTAATACTTTTTTCTCATACTTGTTCTTTCAAATTATATTTCACAATACTTTAATTATAAAATAAAATAAAATATAAATAAAAATAAATAATCATATTAAATTTTTAATTATAAATTATTAATATTTCCAATAAATTATAAATTTATAATAGTTAAATATTTTGAAAATGAAATTGGTGATAAAATAAAATGAAATAAAATAGAAATAAATAATCATATTAAAGTTTTAGTTATAAATTAACAATATTTAAAATAAATTATAAATATTTAATATTTTAAAAATGAAAGTAAAGAAAAACCAAAAATTAAATAATTATGCTAAAATTTCAATTAAAATTTTTTATATTTTAATAAACAATAAAAAATTAAATATGTTAAATTAAAACTTATATAAATTGTAATGACAAATTTATTTTATAAATCAAATTATATAATAACTATCCATATCCTATTCTATTCCATAAAATAATTATTTCGTTGTGCAAACCAAACTAATTTGTCTGTTTTTTTTTTTGAAAAAAAGAGAGAGTTCTTTAAGTTGTTCAAAGTGTTATGTTGTTTGATCAAATTTGAGAAAGGGGGGACGTCGGGCTTGCTAATAACAAGTCGAAGCAATTTGACTGAAATCACATGTGGGCTTGTAAGTTCTAACCAATCAAATGCATCCGACGTGTCGTTATTTTCCTCCAATTTTTTATTGTTACTTACTAGTGTTCAATTTTATTATTCTTTCATAGAAATTAAGCAGTGTGAGTTGGGAGTATGATTTCACATTATATCCATCTCATTCAACCTTAGGCACCTTTTTTCAGAAATATTAAAATTTTGTTAATTATAAGTTTGCAGACATATGAAAATTTAATTAATCATAAAGTTGAATTAACAATAGACGTTGTATAATTGATAAACAGAAAATTACCAATATTAGGAAAAAAATAGTGATGGGTCCGTCAAAAAAATAAAAGAAAGGAAAACAGGATCAATGTATGCGGACACGGTGCAGGAGATGAGTCCTCCTTAAATGGGCATCTCCTAAAGTGCTCTCGTCCACTTGGACTCCTTTTCGCCTTGGGCTGCGTCTCATCTCTCTCTCTCTCTTTTTCTAAAACGTTTCTTTGGCTTTGAATTTCACAATATCTTTTCTCAATTGATTTCCTTTTTGTCTTCTTTTTGTCTCCTTTCATACAATCCCAAATTCTCTC